CTGTCTGTCCTCAGTCCGTCGGGGGTGAGTGTGCTCTTAGCACGGACGTCCTTGAGGACAGGCAGGAGGAGTTCCAGTGTCTTGCTGCTGCTTTACCTCATCTTGTGTCCTCGCTGCTTGCCCCTAAGGGAGACCCGGATGCACCAGACATCCCGACTCCGCGCTCTTACGCGGAGGCGATAGAGGGTCCCTACTCCTCTCAGTGGCAGGCAGCCATGGACGCAGAGATGGCTTCCTGGAAGTCCACAGGCACCTACGTAGACGAGGTTCCCCCACCTGGGGCGAACATCGTCAGTGGCATGTGGATTTTCAGAGTGAAGCGGCCGCCGGGTTCTCCTCCTGTCTTCAAGGCGCGCTACGTTGCTCGAGGCTTCAGTCAGCGAGAGGGAGTTGACTACTTTCAGACTTTCTCCCCCACCCCGAAGATGACCACTCTTCGGGTGCTGCTACACATAGCCGCTCAGCGCGACTACGAGCTTCACTCACTTGACTTCAGCACAGCCTTCTTACAGGGCAGCCTGCACGAGGAGATCTGGCTGCGCCGCCCACCTGGCTTCACTGGGTCGTTTCCTCCTGGTACCCAGTGGAGCCTCCGGCGGCCAGTCTACGGTCTTCGCCAGGCGCCACGTGAGTGGCACGACACACTGAGGACTACGCTTGCGGCTCTTGGGTTTGCTCCTTCTACTGCCGACCCGTCGCTGTTTCTACGCACCGACACCTCTTTGCCGCCGTTCTACATCCTCGTGTACGTCGACGACTTGGTCTTTGCTACTGCTGACACTGCTGGACTCGCCCACGTGAAGTCCGAGCTGCAGAAGAGACACACGTGCACAGACCTGGGTGAACTGCGCAGCTATCTTGGCCTGCAGATCACCCGGGACAGAGCACGGCGCACCATTACCCTGACTCAGTCACACATGGTGCAGCAGGTCCTTCAGCGCTTCGACTTCACGTACTCCTCGCCTCAGGCCACTCCTCTGTCTACTCGCCACTCGCTCTCAGCTCTGCCTTCGGATGAGTCCGTAGAGCCAAGTGGCCCGTACCCAGAGCTTGTTGGCTGCCTCATGTACCTGATGACCTGCACTCGACCTGACCTGGCATACCCTCTTAGCATCTTGGCACACTATGTCGCTCCTGGGAGACACCGACCAGAGCACATGGCTGCAGCGAAGAGGGTGTTGCGCTACTTGTGCAGTACATTGGGCATGGGGCTCGTGCTTGGAGGGCGGAGTTCAGTGGTCCTCACTGGTCACGCAGACGCGTCTTGGGTTGACGACTTGGCTACGCAGCGGTCGTCACAGGGTTACACCTTCAGCCTTGGTTCCGGCTCTGTTTCGTGGCGGTCTACCCGCTCATCTTCTGTTCTCAGCTCCAGCTGTGAGGCTGAGATCTACGCAGGGGCCATGGCTGCACAGGAGTTACGCTGGCTCACCTACCTGCTGACTGACCTGGGAGAGCCGCCTCGTTCTCCTCCAGTTCTGTACGTAGACAACAAGGCCATGCTGGCCTTGTGTCAGGAGCACAGACTGGAGCACAGAACGAAGCACATTGCTCTTCGCTACTTCCTTGCTCGTGAGCTGCAGCAGCGTGGTCAGCTGCGCCTTGCTTACGTGGCCTCTCGGGCCAACACTGCTGATATCTTCACCAAGGCACTTCAGCCTTGTGATCATCAGCGCTTTTGTACTATGCTAGGTCTTGTGCCTACTTGGCCTCACTTGCTCACTTCTTGACCTTGCTTGTACTGTGATCTATATATACCTGCACCTGCATGCTTACCCTTGCTATGTTGAGATCAATGCCTTGCTTGTTCACCTTGATATATAACTCTGCTTGTGAACTGGCCTTGTGGCCTTGTGCTTGTGCTCAGAATGCGTGGTGACGTTGTGATCCACCCTGAGCTTGTTTTGCTTTGTTTCTTCTCTTGACTGGTCTTGTGACCGTTTGTTGTGTTGGCTATCCCCCACTTCGCCTATCTGGGTGTGTCAAATTATATGTTTAATGTTATGTAGGCTGTAGTGGGTTTAGCCTTAGGGGGTACAGAAGTTTGCTCGACACTTCTTTGTATCCCCTCCTTGCCCTAATCTCCACACATACCTTCATACTATTTTCACACACCCACCCACTACAGACTGGAATGCAACTTCTTTGGCATGAATCGCATGCCAGATGGTGAGATGGGTTCACATTTAGCATCGTGCTCTCAAGCCGCTCTTAGGCAATGCACCTTCTGGGAACGTTTTCCCCCGCTGCCCAGCGCGGACGAGAAAGCAAGCATGACCTCTCAAGCGCTACCACGGCCAAACGCTAACTGTCTAACCACTACGGCATTGATAGCGTACGAAGCCCGAGGTGGTCGTGCCAATAACCATATTCGGTTCCAGGTGTCTGGTCTCAGCTGAACTGTGTTTTGAGCGGTCGTGACTGGTTCCTTGTCCAACTTGATTAACGTGGCCCTTCATTCTGCTAACATCATAGTACCGGTATATGTTCCTTGGCAGGGCTGACGTTTCATATTAGGCCCCCCTGATTCCGGGGAATTTTTCCCCCCTCGATTATGAGTGCACATTTTTCAGAATGATGCTACCCTGATTGCTCAGGGTTGAAAAGTATATAACTCTGATTGTTCAGGGTCGAAAATCGAAGTTCATAGTAGTAATGCGCTCTGTATTACATGGGAAAAAAATATTGCTCTGCATGAAGTGCGCTCTGTGTTTCGCGCACACTTTGAGCGCGCTAATTTCCAACCGTTTAGATATACATATTGTATTTATCCATACATTTAAGTGCGGGGAAGAGATGAGCGATTTTGGTCAACAAAACATTTCGATTCGATACCACATATGTGCCTAATTTCTAATTAGCCGAGTACCTAAATGTCGTCAACATCGCTGTACGAAACGCAAAAAAGTGCTGGTAACTTCACGCACACGAAATTACGACAGAACGACAACTTATTCGCACTTTGTGAAAGTAACAAACATCGAGTGTATTCGCCTGTCAGACATGCTGCTGTCCGTCGCTTACGCGCTGGCTGTACTGGGATCAATTCGAAGAGGGGATTATTGGAACGAAATTTCTACCGATAAGGTCAAATTCAGAGTCCACAGAACGCGTACTCTACATTGACAGAGTCAGTAAGAACACTACTCTGAGCCTAGATACAATATTTCAGGGTTCGCTAAAGCACTATTCTGAATGGATCAGTGTTCACAAGTCAGAAATTCTGAAATTGCAGGGACCACCAGGTGAGAAGCCTGTAATCACCCTGAAATCAGGGTAATTACCCTGATAAAATCAGCCCTGTTCCTTGGCTTCCTCTTGTGGTTGTGTGCCGCAGGAAATGATTGATGTGTACAGTCCAACCATTTTGTATTTGTGTGGATAATGTAGGGAATACGGTAAGGGTTGAGATCGTTACATGCCCAGGCAGAGGATGTTTGGGCCGGCCCACATTTTCTGATGTGGCGAAGCCACAATTGTTAAAGGTTTTAACTTACCGTATGGCGTGCTGTGATGCATTTGTTTTCTTGTTCCAACCACCGTGCACTTGGTGCAGCTCGTGTATTGTGCATACAATATTTTACTTACACAAGTGGAAATTTCAGGTATTACTGACGTGTCAATCACGGTAACTAATTACGGTCAATGCTTACAGAGGTCATGCCTTACCGAAGATGCCACCAGCCCTTACCGGAAATAGTTGGGCCGGCGCTAAAGTTTTCCCGCCTCCATTGTTTTCGGCAGGCAATGCTGGTTTCTCCGACATCAGTACAGTACGGGACACATACGGAACTCACCGACAGAAAAAAATGACGGTTTGCCTTCTGTTGTTGACGGTCATTTTATGCGCTCTGTTCATTCCAGGCACCCAGAACCGACTGCAGGCACGCTCCTCGCATGTGCTGGGGTGGGTATGACTTGGGGGAGAGATTTTTCGTGCGAGTCGCCTAGATCGAGTCGCGTTTTCACCTTTACGAACCGCATTCGAATTTCCAATTTGCCATGTTCCACAATGCCATCACCCCACATTTGTATGAATCAGCTTCCGTGATGTTGCCTCCTCATCAGTTTCCGAGTCGTAGCAAACCTTTCGGGCATTCTCCTCCCTAGTCGGCCCTTGCTTCATCTTATCGTTCGCTCGTTTACCACCGTCGTTCCCCATACTACTGCGAATTTCGAGCTCCGTAAACTGTCTCGTAGTCGTCCTCGCAGTTTCGTGAAAAGGCCGAGTTTCCACCTAGAATCATGGCAACCCGGGCGTCGTGCGTCGTTGCTCTGCTGCTGGTGGCCGTCCTGGGCTTCTCTCTCCCAGCCTCGGCGGCTGTGAAACCGTACTGCCGTTTCTCCGGGAAACTCGTGTTTAACAACCTCCTGAACGAGCTTACGAAGGCTGGGAACTATTCCACCTTGGTCTCCGCGCTCAAAAAAACAGGTGAGAAGCGCGACAGCCCAACGCTTTGAAAGTTCGGTCGCCACCTTTTCCGCCTCGCCAAATGTCTTAACTTCACGCCTTTTGCGCCTCGCCAATCTCAAACCTCCTGGAATGAACTCGCTGAACCTTGGCGCAACTTCAGCAGTCTTCACACTCTCTCTACTTTACCCTCTCCAGGTCTTTCCAAAGATCTTCAGCAGCTCATCAACTGCTACGAGACGACGTTCTTCGCGCCGAACGACGACGCGTTCGCGACGCTTCCGGACAACGCTAAGAACGCGACCAGGGATGCCAAGGTGCTGCGCGAGGTGCTGCTGCTGCACGTGGTGCAGAAGAAAATGCCTGCTGCCGCGCTGAAGTCCCTCCCGCAGGACAAGCAGGTGATTTACGGGAGCTGAAAGTGGTGCTGTGGTGTTGGAAGTGGTGCTGTGCGAGGTGCTGCTGCTCGGGAATCACGTGACCTATCGTCCACATTCTGAGGCCATCCGATGTCATCACTGAGTGATGTCCTTCCACCGCACCCAATCTCACACAACCGTGCGTTCGTCCCCCTCCACACCCTGTGCAGTTCAAGGCGGCATCCGACGGTTGCAAGGCTCGCCTGGTGAAGGTCACAGCTGCCGGCGCCGACCCGGTTCAGCTGCAGGCCCTGTACGGCCCGGAGGAAGCTTCCATAGTGGCTCCTGACGTCATCTCGCTGCGAGTGATGCAAGTGCACGGGGTGGATACGGTTATTCTGCCCCAGATCATGAAAGCAGGCGATAAGGATTCCCTCAAGCCTACGGTGTGCTTCCCCTGGCGCGCATAGGGCAAGTGGAGTGAAGGCTGTCCGGGCAGTGTGGTGCAAGTGCAGGGCTGCCCGGTCGGTGTGATGAACATTTATTAGTGATGCATCTAGTGTCGACTCAAACGCCACAACCTATCTACTTTGGCCCTTCTCAGATTAAGTGGCGGCAAAGTAGATGGGTTGTGGTAGTATGGGCGGCACACTTCTGGATCGACTCTGATAGTCATGGCAGGCGGGGGGGAGGGGGGAGACGAGAATTGTCATGCCAATGCACCTGGACGGGTGGGTGGAATTCAAGAGTGGTGGGGTTCACGATAGCCTTGGCCAGCCGGTCTGACAACTGAGTGCTGGGGCAGCATCGTCTTAATGCTGTTTGCGGGGAATACCACAGCAGGCAGGAGCAGGCAGGGTTGTTACATGGCAAATGCTTATGTTGCTAGGTAGGTGAGAACTGCTTGTCTTGTACTCCTCAGTAATAATATAGAATCCACTGTTCCTCATACCAAATGCCGTAGTGTCCCAGCAAATCCATGTTTTCCTAGGCCACCTCTAAACTGAGCCAAGGCCAAATCCCACTCCAGGCCGGCCTGTGACTTCCGTGACACGAGTCTCATGCCTGGTGGCGAGTCTCATGCCTGGTGGCGAGTCTCATGCCTGGTGGCGAGTCTCATGCCTGGTGGCGAGTCTCATGCCTGGTGGCGAGTCTCATGCCTGGTGGCGAGTCTCATGCCTGGTGGCGAAATGGATCCACAATTGGCGAAATGACTTGCCACACATGGGTTTGCAAGGAGTTGCAGCCTCTTATTGAAGACGCCCATCTTCTGCTGCCCAACAGAGGCAAGATAGTAGCACCAGTGCACCACGCATGTCTGCCCTGAACTATACATAGGTGGTATGGACTAACCACAACCAGTGGGAAGCAGAGAGGTAAAGCATTCTTGTGCTTGTGATGGGGTCACTTCTGAGTTTGACATGGCAGCAGCAGGCAGGCTGCGGGTGCAAGGCCAGTGCCTTGCTGACTGGAACGGAACTGTTCTCACCTAGTGTTTAGTCATTAAAGTATACCACATGAACAATAAACAGTGTACAGCGGAGCTTATTATCAACAGCACCTAGAGCCCTGAGGGTGCATCCCTGAGTTGGTGGCAAGGCAACTGTTGGTGGCAAGCGCATTTTCCGGCCCACTGAATTTTTGGGTACACTTGCCACCAACTCGATGTGTACAGTTGCCCTGCCACGAACCAGGGATGCACTCTTAGACTACAACCAAGTTGCAAAACACAACCTAGCCCCACTCCTACAATTGTAAACACTACGGGTGGGGAAAAATAGTTTTAAACACATTCCATTCCAGTCATATCCAATCCCGATGCACCTTGCGGTGGATGCAGCACGGACGAATAAAATACCAGTCGCAAACTCCAAGCCAGCCGCAGGCGCAAGCCAGCCCACGATATTACCGTGCCCTCTTCAAAGGAAAGCGGGGATCATGGTGAATGGAGAGTCAGCGAGCGCAAAGTCGAGATCGCACGCTACCCCCTCTTCGATTTTGAACTGCTCCCCTTCCACGTCCTCAAAGTTCCCACACACATCTACTCCGTTGACCGCGTTGACTGAGTTGACTGCTGCTTCGAAGGCAGCAGGAGAGCCCGCGCCGCCCTCTGCCATCTCGGTGCGCTTTGCAAATCGCCCTTTCACGCGCGGGCGGCTTTCCGCGTACGCCTTCCGCGACGCGTAGCGGATCGTCTTCTCGAACCGCCGAGCCTTGCGCTTCTCGCGGTACCGCATCACGCGCGCCTCGCGCGCAAGGGGATGGAGAGGGCCAGGACTCGAGAAGGTCGAGGGGGAGAAGGGGGAGGCGGGGGGAAGCGGGGAAGCGGAGGGGAGCGACGACGCGGAGGGGAGGGATGAGGAGGCGCGCAGCACGACGGGGCTTTCCGCAGCGGGGTGACAAGTGCGGGATGACGACGTGGCGCTGGCGTCAAACGCGGCGGCGGTCGCGGCTGAGTCGGCGGCCTGCCTGCTGCTAGGAACGAGGTGCGTGTCGGCTTGAGAGGATACAGAGAATGACGGGGAGGAGTGGAGGGAAGGGGAGCATTCGCGACGGCCAGCCACGGCCGAGGCGCCTTCGTCTTGGGATTGCACCGGCACCACCATGCTCTCTTTCACGGCCTTCTTAGCCGTCGCGGATTGCGCCGCCGGTTTTGCCGAGGCTAGCTTCGCGTCGACGGGCGTCGCGCTGCGGTCGCCGCCGCCGTACTGCTCGAGGTCGAGGAACGGATCCACGTCAAACAGGAGATCTGCCACGTCAGCAGCCTCCGTTTTGGGATATTTAGTAGCCGGAGGTTGCGCCGCGTGTGCCGGCCGGTGGAGGAGGGGAAGCGTGGAGGGGACGTGCGGCGAGGCCGGGTAATGCGGCGGCATGTGCGGCGACATGTGCGGTGGCATGTGCAGCGGCATTTGCGGCGGCATGTGCGGCGGGAGGTGCGCGTAGGGGAAGTAAGGCGATGGTACCATCGGCCGTGGAGGAACAGAGCCGGCCATCTGCATATGCTGCGCCATATACGGCGCCATATACGGCGGCATGTGCGGCGGCATGTGCGGCGGGAGCACTCGCGGTGCAGCAGAAGCGGCTGAGTGGTGAGGGTAGAGGTTGGAGTGGAGGGGGTACAGCCAATTAGCGTTCCGACCACCCGCCTCCGAGCTCGGCCTCTCCTCTTCCGCTTCCTCTTCCTCCTCGTCCTCTACCTCCTCCTCCACTCCTTTTCTTGAGACGACCGCGTTTGCCGCCGTTGCTTGTCCTTGTCTTGAGCTTAGCTCCTCGTGCTCCTCAGAAGGCCACGCGAACCCTGCGGCGCCATTTGCGCCAATAAACGCGGCGGGCTGGACGCATGCCGGCTTACAGCTTTTGATGGACGAAGGGCACTCGTAGAACGGGACGACGGGAACGCGCTCGTGGCGATTCGCGAGAGGGTTCGCCTCGTGAATGTCGGCGTCGCACGTCGCACAAAGAGCCGCAGCGTCGGCTTTGCAGGTTACCGCAGCCGGTGACATTTCGCAGACTTCGCAGACCCACACTCGCTCGTGGCGAGACGCGAGCTTGTTCGCGCCATGGACTTTGCCGTCGCACGCCAGACAAAGGTACGCCGAGTCGGCTCTGCAGAAAATTAAAGCCGCGCTCGATTGACACGCTTCGCACGGCTTCGGCATGGTTGCTGCGAACCACAGGCGAAGCGATACGCTATTGCGAGGAGAGAAACTAGCCTATGCGTTTCTATGAAAGTCAGTTGGAGTAAGCGGTTATTCCGTCACGTGAATAAATCCGTTGCAAGGGTCGTTGACAAATGAGAAACTATGCTTGATATTGACTGGCTAAAATGACAGCAGAGTGATACTTGTAAGCGGGAAGGGAAGAGTTTGTTGGTTGGTGGTGAACGATGGAAAGAAGGAACGAGCTGGCGGTTCAGCGAGCTCGTTGGGTTTGGTACACCTAACCACCGCTATTTTCTTTCGGTCTATCTTCAACCCCCACGTGTGCAAAGGGGTAGGCACCCTTCAAAACGTTTTTGACCGAGGGTTGTGTCGGACGTCATACGCTCTACGCAGAGTTAGTTCCTGACTCCTGAAAGCTACGCAATGGGATGCGCAACAACAAGCAGACTCCACACGAGCCGAAATTGTCTTACACTCGCCCGATTGAAATCTCCATTTGATGTCATTCATAGTCCCCTATAACGAGGTTTCTAACAGAAAACCCCAAAAGCTGGGCAGGGATTACATGAAAATCGGGAACAGTGCCAAGGTCAGAAGTTGAAAATAGCGGTGGCTAGGTGTAGAACGAGGCGACGTGGACTGGTAGGTGGTGCGGCTAGCCATGCTTGGAACGACAGTGAGATTGGGTACACAGGGTCCCGCCAGCTCGCTTCCAATGGTAACCGTTCAGCGGAATCACTTATGGCCGAGGTATCACCACATGTTACAGGATAGAACGCGGGGTGATGTGAGATAAGATGGGATTGGCGATAGGGTGAGATAGAATGGGGCGGGGGCGAGTGTGACATTGTGTGGAGGGGAGAGGTCGACCAAAGGCCCGCGGAGTCAGCAGCTTTGAGTTGATGGTGGCCGCACAACTCCAGCATATCAGTGGGCGAATGGGAATCGACTTTTAGCTCAGCGTCAACTGATTTTTTTTAGCCAGGACTGAACTCTACACCACCGGACCCACTTACATTATTGAACTGTATCAGGGGCAAACCAGCACATCACGTGTACAAAGACTGGGCACTTGTGAAGCCACTCTTGGCGGGAAAGTTACCCATGACAGGACAAAGAAGCCATGTGGCTGAGGGGCACGGTGGAACATTGGCAGCCACAAAGTAAAAATCCGATCGTTCAGTGGCGGTGGATATCTGGGCAGGCTGCTGCAGCCCAGAACCGAGTCGCGGAAGAGTGCTTTTATGTCGGACGGAGTCTCCCACAGATATCGATGGCAGAGAGCAGAGCAAAGGGGCTTCATGAGGTGGAATTAGTGGTGGGGGCAGGGCGAATCTTGTGCTTCGCGGATAGACATTTCGGCAGCCTCATGACTACGAGGCGCAAAAGGCGCATGCTGCAGCTGGTGATTGAATCCACATTTCAGCCACAAATTCCACAAGAAAGATGTTGATTTTGTTCCGTAGTGAATTTATTATCTAGAATTATTGGTCAGAAGCGGATGAGACATTGGATGAGTCCAGTCCGCTCATTTACAGGAGGTATGCCCAGGTCACGTACGGTCGACCAATACGGTTGAACGTGAAACCAACAGTGAACGGCTGGAAAGAGACATCTGCACGCCTGGAAAAGCAGCAAAGAATTTTTGGGGCGCTGGCACCGAGTCCCCGACCCCGACGTCTCCATTGTGTACCGTACAAGAACCTAGCAGCAACAACAAAGGGTTATGTTATGGTACAAACCGTTTGATACAAACGGTGGTGGAAACTTTTGTTCGCACAATTTCTCGCACGTCCCGCACTCTTCGGCTTTCTTTCGATTCCACTGACGGTCAGACCAGACTCCACGATTCTTGGAGCTAGCACCTGCCGTCGAAGTGTCTGCCTCAACATGAAGATTCTACCGCTCTTCTAGAATCAAGAATCTCCTGCGGCTGTCTATCTCAGACCAACCCACCACTTCCACGTCACAAACACGCAAGAACCAGTCAAAGCCATGCTTGAAAGCCTCGGATCAAGTCAGGAAGAGCACAGCAAAAGCCCGTTTCGTTACAACACGTCCGTGAGCACACCTTATAATGAGGTCCGTGAGAATATCAGCAAACCATCCTATAAATGGGACTTCTTGATGTGGGTGAACAGATTAAACTGGTGCCCTCCATGCCTGGGTCAAGGTTGATAGTAACATCCAATGCGAGGCAAAATTTGCGAATGCCACTCACCAAGCTTCTGAAGTGCCTCAACAGCACCACCACTGCCTGGAAACTCTTGCAGTAAATGCTACAAAGCTACCGATAATGAAAAGCACTCGCATAAATTCGTCCAAGCGTAGTGTATCAAAGCTGGCTATCACAACCACAGCTTTAGACTGAACTAGACAATAAATCACGTAATAACACTTCTACAAGTTTATCATCTACGGAACAGAGGCTCCATCCACTTTCGTGGCATTAGCTCTTGGTAGGGCAAAACACTACATCTAATCACCTATTTTCTACACAGCAACTGCCGATGTCATCACCCCACAGCACCACACATCACCACAATCTTCCCTTGTCCACGTTCCAACTGTGGCCCTGCTGCCCTGCAGGCCTGTTGCCTGTTGCCAGCTGTCTGCTGCCTATTGCCTCCCTGAATAAGCACCTGGTTTATCTTGCTCCGCAGCGGGCGAACTATCAAGAACCGCTCGCATCACACATCCCTCGTTACAGGTCATGCAATCAGCCCATCACTCCACATCATCACCCTCCTCACCACCCCTCTACTCTCCCTCACCCTTGCCTCTCAAACCACCGCTCTCCTCCGCCTTATTGCTCACCCCCCCTCTTTCCTCTGCTTCCTCTGCTGCTGCACCATCCTCCTCCATCGCCTCCTCCCCATCCTCCTCGTGCCCTGCTCTCAAACCAACACCCTTCTCCTCACCACGTGCCTTCTCTTCTCCCTCCTCAATCTCCTCACCACCCTCCTTTGCTGCACCACCGTCATCACTACCATCAAGCCCTCCCACTCCGCTCACCACTCCCTCCTCTCCCCCCTCCGCACTCTTTCTCCTCTCCCTCTCCCTATCCAACCTCTCCTCTTCTTCCTCCTCCTCATCCTCACCCTCGTCTTCCTTCTGCACACTCCGCACAGCACCTGTCATACCCTTCTTCTCCCTCCCACTCTCCTCCTCACTCTCCTCCCTACTCCCCTTCTCACTCCCCTTCTCCACACCCCCCCTCTCCTCCTCCACTCGCTCCTCCTCGTCCTCAGCACTAGCAGCAACCACAGCACGGGCCATAGCAGCTCGCTGCTGCCTCATAACAGCCTTGGTCAGCCCAATCTTCCTCCTGTCCTGCACACTCTCCTCCTCCTCATCCTCCTCATCCTCCTCATCCTCATCCACTATAATCTCCGGAATTCCCTTCTTCCCAATCGGCACAGTCACATTCTTTACAATAACAACAGATTTCCCCTTTCTACCCTCCTTTTGACCCCTGTTCCGCCCCGCCTGCTGCCACCTTCCCAGCCTTCCCCTCCTGCCCCTCCTGCTGTTTCTTCTTCTTCTTAGCCTCCTTCTCAGCGGCCCTCTTTGCCTCCTCCACTCTCTTCCCCTCCTCAATCTTCCTCTGCCTCTCCTCTTCCTTCTCCCGCCACGCCTCCTCCTCCTTCCTCCTCTTCTCCTCCTCCTCCCGCCACTTCTCCTGCTCCTCGGCCATTCTCTTCGCCTCCTGCTCCAACCTCTCCTTCTCCTCCGCCTGCTTCTTCCTCTTTTCCGCCACCTGCTGCTGCTTCCTCTCATAGTGCGTCTCAGCTATCCACGCCCGCGTGGTCACATTAACCAGCGGCACAACAACACTGCTGTTCAGGTGAAGATGTGTGAAACCGTACGGTTTGATCACCTGGTTATCAGCGAACACAAACGCGCGCTTCATGTGCACGAGGCACTTTGCTGCGTCGTACTCGCCCATGCTGCCGCACGGCTTGCACCCCACGAAGTGAGTCACAAATGGCCACCGGTCGTCCCCGAATCCAGCATGGAACCGCTCCATCATCTCCTCAAACCTGGGGGAGGGAAAGGGGTAAGGGCAAAGAGAGGAATATGAGAAGCTGAATGGCCAGAGTAGAGTAGAAAACGCCAAGGTCAACATGAAAACGCTTCATCAACTCTTCGAACCCAGGAGAGAGTGGAGGGAAAGTGTCTGAGAGTAGTGTGAGTGAGAGAAGATGCATACAACGGCATGCCAGCAAGTGCAGTTCACGGATTGGCACTGTTGACCAGGTCAACGCACCTGTTGACCAGGTTGACCCAGTAGCCGTCCAGGCAGAACTTGCTATCCAGGTGCACGTGCCTGCCCCACCGCTCCCCCCCCACCTTTAACCTTACTGACCACGTTGACCGCCCGTTGACCAGGTCAACGCACCTGTTGACCAGGTTGACCCAGTAGCCGTGCAGGTAGAACTTGCTCTCGAGGTGCACGTGCCTGCCCCACCGCTCCCTGCCGCTCACCAGCAGCCACACCAGCGCCGACTGGTCGTCTGCCTCAAACTCAGGCCGGCCCTGTAAGGTGAGAAGTTAGAGATGAGAGAGAGAGGAGAGAGGGTGAGGACATGGGTTGGGAGAAAGGAGAACACCAGCGCCGATTGATCATCCGCCTCAAACTCAGGCCGGCCCTGGGAGAAGTGAAGAGAGATATGAGAGAGGGAGAGGGTTGGCAAGTGAGCGAGATGAGAGAGAGATGAGAGAGGGAGAGGATACGGAGTAAAAGTGAGTGGAACACTGCACCCTCAACTCTCGCATAAACGCACGCCGAGCATCACATGCGTGCACTGTGTCTTAGAAGCTCACCTTGAGCCGTTGAGGCGCCTCCAAAGTCATCACATGCGTGCACTGTGCTTGAAGTAGTGTTTTGAGACGTCTCAAAACACTACTTCAAACACGTGCGTGCAATGTGCCTTAGAAGCTGACCTTAAGCTGCACCGTCAGCAATCTGCCCGCCTCCTCCCTGGCTCTGCCCCTCGCGCCCACAACCCCACATTCCCTGTAATTTCTGTTCCCTCTCTGCTCTACGCAACACACGCCCTAACACACCTTGAGCTGCGCCGTCAGCACTCGCCCCGCCTCCTCCCTGGCCCTGCCCCTCGCGCCCATGGCGGCCCACTTGGCGAGCAGATCAAGCGACCACTGCACAGGAGGGTGGAGGGGGGAGAAAGTGGGGAGGAAGGGGAAGGGGGAGGGGGAAATCGGCGGGAGGAGAGTGGGGCATGAGTGGGTGATGGTGAATGGCGGCACGAGAATGGCGTCCGTGGCGGCCCACTTGGCGAGCAGATCAAACGACCACTGCAGACGAGGGGAGAGGGGAGAGAGGGCGAAAGAGAAGTAGATGAGCATAAGATGAGCGCGATACAAGCAAAGAGCAGCTCACGAAGAAGATAGAGACACAAAGACATCGTGAGCTGTATTGTGAGCTGCTTTTTCCAGTGAGTAACAGGCACCAGAACCGGGAGTAGCAGGGGAAATGGAAGGGGGAGGGGCAGGGCAAGGTGCAGGGCGAGGGGCAGAGAGAGGGGCAGAAAGGGGGGGCGCTCACCTGGTTGTTGCGCAGGAGGAAGCTTCCAGTGCTGAGGCCCACCCTGTGTTGCGGGGGGGACGGGGGAAGGTGGGAGGGGGCACAGGAAGGGGCAATACGGGTGAGTGGTTACATGTGAGCGGACGATAAAGTGGTTGAGTTGGAAACGGCAATGCGGAGGACGGTGAGGGGTAACATATGAGCGGACAAAAAAGCCGCCAAGTGGAAACCGCAACGACTTTTGAGACGTCTCATAAGGGGCAATACGGGTGGGTGGTTACATATGAGCGGACAATAAAGCCGCCAAGTGGAAACCGCAACGACCCCCCGCTCTCTCGCCTCACTCCGCTACTCTGCGCACCACTCCCTGCGCGCACCAATCCCTGCGCGCACCAATCCCTGCGCGCACCAATCCCTGCGCGCACCAATCCCTGCGCGCACCAATCCCTGCGCGCACCAATCCCTGCGCGCACCAATCCCGACGCGCACCAATCCCGACGCGCACCAATTCTTGGTGCGCACCAATCCCTGCGCGCACTTTCCTGCGCGCACCAATCCCTGTGCTCACCAGTCGCGGTGCTTGTACACGAGGTCGTCCCACCGCGGCACCACCATGCTCACGCCCTTGTACTTGCGGCTACTCATACCGCACTGTCACCCTCTCTCCCCCCTAGCGGCACTCACCAGTCGCGGTGCTTGTACACGAGGTCGTGCCACCCCGGCACCACCATACGCATAGCGCACGCCCTTGTGTTTGCAGCAACTCATACCGCACTGTCACCCTCCCCCCCGCTTGAAGAAGCGGCACTCACCAGTCGCGGTGCTTGTACACGAGATCGTCCCACCCCGGCACCACCATGCTCACGTCCTTGTACTTGCGCCACGGCAGCTCGAACTTCATGTCTGCGCGCGCAAGGGGAAAGGGGAGAGGCGAGGGAGGGGGGGAGGGAAGCGGGGAGTTGGGGGAATGATGAGAAGAACGGACGGTGTTTCGAGGGAGGTGAACCAACTGGTTCCACTCAGGCAGCAAACGACGGTTCTCATTAAGGTGTATTTTGAGGCGCCTCAAAATACACCTCAATGCTCGTGAGCCAACTGGTTCCACTCAGGCAGCAAACGACGGTTCTCATTAAGGTGTATTTTGAGGCGCCTCAAAATACACCTCAATGCTCGTGAGCCAACTGGTTCCACTCAGGCAGCAAACGACGGTTCTCATTAAGGTGTATTATTAGGCGCCTCAAAATACACCTCAATGCTCGTGAGCCAACTGGTTCCACTCAGGCAGCAAACGACGGTTCTCATTAAGGTGTATTTTGAGGCGCCTCAAAATACACCTCAATGCTCGTGAGCCAACTGGTTCCACTCAGGCAGCAAACGACGGTTCTCATTAAGGTGTATTTTGAGGCGCCTCAAAATACACCTCAATGCTCGTGAGCCAACTGGGTCCACTCAGGCAGCAAACGACGGTTCTCACGTCCTTGTACTTGCACCACGGCAGCTCGAACTTCATGTTTATGCGCAGAAGGGGAGGGGAAACGGGGCAGAGGGAGGGAGAGGGAGAGGCGGAAGGGGAGGGGAAGGGGGAAGCGGGAGGGGGAGGGGTTGAGGAAGGAGGAGATAGTAGGGGAGGGGGAGAGGGAGAGGCAAAGGAGGGGTTGGGGGAGAAAATGAGGACACTTGTGCTCCCGCATGGCATCTCAAACTTCATGTCTCTTTGCGCGCACGTCTGCATCGCCATGTCACCCTTTCCTGCTAAACCCACAAGCCCTGTTCCCCGGAAACTCCCTCCACCCCCTTTTCCTCCCCGCCACTTCCGGAAACCCCCCCGATCCCCTTCCCCACCCCGCCACCCCGTTCCCTTTCCCCCCACGATCCACCCTACCCGTTATAATGGAGTCCGAATCGATCCACCAGAACCACTCTATATCGGGGTGCGCGAGCATGAGGCGGCGCAGCAGCGGCAGCTTCTCCCACATGCCGTTCATCTCCCTGTCCAGCCGCACCATGTGGTGGTATACCACCATGCCGTGCGTACGCGCATAGTCCAGCTTCGATTTAAGGAACAAGAGCTGGAAGTGGTCGCCCACGCTGTGCTCGCACGGCTTCGGCTGCGAGGTCGACACGATCATGACACGTGGCCGCCCGTCACTGGTGGCGTTGCACCCGGGATTCATGGCTATGTGCTCCGCGCGCTGCTCGTCCCAGTCTGTGGGAGCCGGCAGGGGAGAAGCGCGGGCAGAAGGGGAGGAAGGGGGACAGGGAGGCGGAAACCGGGGGGAGGGGAAGGGGAGGAAAAGGACGGGGGGAACCCGTGGGGGTTTAAAGCCGGATGGTGAGAGAGCAGCGGGGGGGTGGGGAGGAAATGGGGGGAAGAAAAGGGGGGAAGACGACGGAAATTGGGAAGAAGCGCGGCGGGTAGGGAGGGGGAATGCGAGGATGCGGGACAGAACCGAAGGGAGAAGAAATTCGGCACAGACTGAATCTCCAAGGGGTGCAGCAGGAGGAAGCAGCCACGGTCGCACGTGATCTCTCAAGTCAATTCAGAAGCTGGAAATCAAGGTCCTACCTGTGATGTTGGGCCCGGCGCGGTACGGCGAGTTGCGGTCCGCCATTTTGTCCTGCAAGAATAGCAGCTGGCTCTCCCGCGACTGCCACGTGGCAACGGGGGCAGGGGACAGAGGACAGGGGAAATTTACAATTGAGACGACTCAAGAAATCCGGAGCTGCAGCGGGGCAAAGAAATGAAAGTGGAAACCCGAGAAATCAACACGAGAGGGAACGAGGTAGCTAGGAGAGACGGTGGGGATGAAGAAGGGAGGCCAGAGGACGGGACGCGAACGGGAGGACGGGAATGAACGAGAGGAGAGGAAACGAACGGGAGGACGGGAACGAACAGGAGGAGAGGAAACGAACGGGAGGACGGGAATGAACGGGAGGACAGGAAACGAACGGGAGGATGGGAGACTAGAAGCGATTGGCGAGACCGGGACTATAATCCGTTCTGTCATCTGTTCCTGACACATCGCAGCACGCCTAAAAGCACGAGGAGTTCAGCTCAAGCGAACAGGCCCAACGGTTCGGCTATCCAGCTTGAAAGGCTACGCTAGCGTAAGATAGAAATCGCAGGGTGCGTCTCCATGACGACCACGACCAGGACAAGCGTCTGTAAGGACGAGAGCCAGCGATCTGACGAGAGCCGAATATTGAGTCGACTCAATATGCGTCGTGTGCCATTGTAACGAGGTGACTTTAGAGTCGACTCAAAAGTCACCCCCATGACGACCACGACGAGGATGAGCGTCTATAACGACCAGAGTCAGCGATCTGACGAGAGCCGCCAGTCAATCGGCGGTGCGATTCGCTCTACTAGGATGATTGCGCAACGCGAAGAACGAAACAAGGCCTAATCGAATCAGTCCACGAAAGGTAGATGCAAAATCGTAGCCGTCGAATCATGAATGGTAACTGCCTAATCGTACCCGTCGATCCATCAAAGGTCAACGCACTATTCATCCACGTTGCGTCTCCACACGATTTATTTTAAAGAGAATGACCCACGCACCACGCGACATCCCATTCCTAACACGATGCGACTGATGCGACCGATACAGATACGACCGGCACGAACCTTGAGGAGACGCTTCTCTTCGAAGAACCGGAGTTCGCGGTTGAGAATCTCGGCGTCCTGAACTTTAGACTCGACTCAATAGTCTAGATTCTGCTCGTTACAATGTCACAGGACCGATACGAACCGAAACGAACCGATATGAACCGCTACGGACCTTGAGGAGGCGCTTCTCTTGGAAGGACCGGAGCTCGCGGTTGAGAATCTCGGCATCCTGAAACGGCGTGCCGAACTTGCCGGCGCCGAAGGTGCCGCGGAAGACGAGGAAGGTGATGAAGCCGCAGACTAGCGTCATCTTAAAGTTATACGCGACCTTGCGGAAATTCTTCATTCGCGGGTGGTTCCATACCCACGCCAGCGAGCACGACAGCCAATCGCAACACAGCGATCTTTCTGGCTTCATTGTGACGGTAAGTAAATTTACGACGAAAATTGCAGGGGATTAGACTATAGTTGCCTCTAAGTTTAAAGTGAATGTCAAAGACACTGAGGCATCTCTGAGGACACTTGCAGAGGGGGAAAAGTTGGCACCTGGAAGCCACGCGACGGTGGCTTTGCTTGGTTCGGCTCGTGCACTCAGAGGGGTTGCGGTCGGGGACGACTCCTTTTAAATTTACGACCAAATCGCCTACCGCGAACTAGTTACCTAATGGAACAGGTCAGCCGGAACAACACGCTGCGCCGTCAGCCAGCAAAGCTCAATGACACTAGCAAAACCAAGGATCACCCGTCATTCAAAATAGGTTCCATAGTCTTCCAAGTTCCTGGTGTGCCTTGGCTGATGGTGCGGGGAGTTGGCTTACAGGCATGGGGATGTCTGCCTCTATACCGCTTCAGTTAACACTTAACTTCTTTAGAACGTACAGAACCATACAGAACCGTTTTGAGTAATCGATGTTCCTGAGCATGTCTCTGTGTGCGTCCTCACCGCCACCACACACGCCCCACATCCTCGAGGAACAATTTGCGATGCTCTTTTTGATCAGAGTCTCAGACCAGAACCCTTTTGATTGGCTGATTTGGACAAAGCAGAGGTTCGGGCAACCGCCTTACAGCGAACTCTACTCGGTTTCAAGCGTTACGGAGCATCATCGCGTGGTACGGATGCCAGGTTTTGCGTGCCCGACTGCGCCAAACCCCGAGCCACCATTCCCCGCGTGGAGCGTGCTGGTCAGGGTTGCGTTTGGGACCACAGTGCGGAGCGCTGGTCAAGCGTACAATGCTCGCACCAAGGCACTTCCCGCGCGAATTTAGGCGCCTTGGGAATGCTCAGCTGGCTGCACGGCTCTGAGCACTCACTTCCGCGCCCCGAGTACAGTCGATGGCAATAGATGCTCCCCGCGTGGGAATACGAACGGTGGGATGCGGGTATTGTGGAATCGCAGTTGATATACTCGGCATAACACTATAAACGTGCACACAATCCCCATACAATAAACGCAGCATATTGCTAGACCATATGTTTCAAAGCCCATTGTTCTACTCCCTACAATGAAGCCTGTCTCAACCGAAGCATTGTCATTCTGCAACCTCCTCGTGCCCCCAATTGACATTCAGCAGAACATTTTTCCAGTCATGTGTTCACGGTCAAATTTGCAACCTGTGATGCTCAGGTTCGTGACAGGCTTCGTCATTTCATTGGCGCTCTCATTCATAGACCTGCCCGTAATATTGTACGGAAAGCCGACAGTGAAGGGTGTGCTGAGGGTGGGGCTGACCGGGGCCCTTGAAAATTGCGCGAAATCCCTGGAGTTTATCTCGCTCACAACAACACCCCTCCCTCTTCTCGCTCAGGAATTGCTGAGCCTGACATTCCTTGTCCAGAATTGCTCAAGCAAGCACGATCACTTGAGTATCTGAAAGCTCATATGCTCGAGACAGACATTTCACAGACTTGCATTTTACATTGCTAGGTCACCTCTAAAGCTGAACCCACACCAACTTTCAGTTGTATGATAACATGGTGAAGTACCTATAAGCTAACCATGGAAGCGGACTGGGAGTTGGATTCAGACGGCGAGGGCAAGCGATGGAGTCTGGGCCCGGCATTCGACGATGCGGGTCAGCTCTCAGACGACGACCTTCTCACTGACCTCGGGAGTACCGCCGCCATTCGAGACGGCGAACTTCTCACTGACCTCAGCGGTACCGCCATTCGAGACGGCGACGTCACTACGAGTCATCTGGAAAGCACCGCCATCAGCGGCGGTTTCACTAGTGGTGTCGCCGTTAGAAGAGGCGGCCAAAGTAGCGATGCGAGCAACGGCGCGCGGAACAATCGCACGTCGCAGGCCAACGGCGCGTCCAACCTTAATGGCTCGTTAGGCCATAGCGGCGCGTTGGAGGTCAACGGCTCGCTAGACCGTAATAACGGCGATGGCGGAAGCTCTGATAGACCTGGCGGTAACGAAGCCTCGCGTTCCTCTGGCGCCATAGACGGCGGAGCTGTCAGTCTAGGCGCTGCGGACGAGGGGAGGGAGACCCAGCTAAACATTGCGCGAGCCAAGGGGTTGCGCGACGCGGGGGAGCATAGCGTGGGGGTAGCTGCGCAATCGGAAGTTTGCGTGAAGCAGAGCGGGGCTGGCGACGTGGGTGGCGGAAGGGGGGAAGCAGCAGATGGAACGCATGTAGCGGCAGTGGCGCCTGAATTGGCGCCGCAAAGGGAGGAGCGGAGTGTTGAGTCATCACGGCCGTCAGTAGGCTCACTCACGGCCGAATTGACGGCGGAAGAACCGTCCACTGGAGGACTGGCAAACGGGAGCGGAGAGTGGGTTGGGAAGGAGCGTGCGGAGGGTGTAAAGGGGGCCAATGATGCAACGGATGCAGACGAGGGGGGGCGAGGGCAAGGAAAGAGTGGTAGTGAGGAGAACAGTGCAGCGAGCAGGTCGGGGGAGATTAGGGTCGGTTTGAAAGACATCAAGAGGAGCGGTATGGGAAGTGACGTTGCCAGTGGGAGTATCGGAGCGAGTGCGAGCGATAGGGGTAGCGGTAGTGGTAGTGGTGGCGGGAAATTGAGTGACAAGGGGAGAGAAGTGACTGGGAAGGCGCAGGTGGGAAGTGGAGTTGGGGCGCGGATACAGACGGGCGAGGCGGGGGAAGCGGGAGGAGGGGGAGGGGCAGGGGGAAGGGTAG